GAAAAAGGTGACTATGCTTATATTTTTGTACTGTAAAAAGAAGAAAATTTGCCTTTTGCCATTCTAAAGGGCATTTAGCGCTGGTGCTAGAGCATAATCCTTTTCATTGATCAACGTTTATTTCTTTAAAACTCTTACGGCCTACAGATTATACAACTTCCAAAATAAATGTGCGATGTGGCAACACTTTTTACATTTGAGGTTGTTACAAATTATTTTTTTCTTTGGTAAAGAACAAATTAGAATTTTTTGAAACGAACTGAATTAAAATGTTTTAATAGAACTGAGGCTTTCGCGTTTCTAACTTCTCAATTATCGGTTTAAATTATTTGTGCTTAGTAATGAAAACAATTTTTTTTTTATTCTTACTTGTAAAAATATTAATACATTACATTTGATATTGAAAAATATTCTCTATCAATATGAAAATTTCTTATTAGTTGGATTGTTTGGGTATTATGCTATAAAAATATTTGGTTTTAAACTTGAACCAAAATTTTCGTGTGACCCGAACTTTTTTGCATCGCACCGTTGTACCATTTTGTTAAAATTAAAGAATCAATATACATATCGTGCGTCTTAATTCTAGCGTTTAGTTTTGTCTGCGAAAATACACGTTCCATTATACAAGGATGCAAAAGGTGAATTTATAAAAAATTGGTAGGGTGTTTACCATAAATATAAATATAAGATATACCGCTTTGTTCTGTTGGATACTTTGTTACAAGTTTGAATATGTATGCACGTGTTCTTTAGAGCCATACATGCTATGTCTCTTTGAGCTGAAAAATTACCATTGAATTAAAAGGTAAATACCCTATACTCCTTTCTTTTATAAAAGAACCTTTTGCATTACAATAAAATAAGGCGTGTACTTTCTCGGATTGAGCTTTCCGGTAGACTTTATATTTTTTTTATAGGGATTTAAAGTTCGTTTATTTCTAATGTTTTACTCCAACCGCCTCAAGGTTTAGAAAATGTGTTTTTAAATAGTCTTAGAAATGTGCTCTTTTTAAATAGTCTGCGCGGACTACTTATAAAAGACCGTGTGGAGGCTTTTTGATGTAGAAGGTGATGGCAGAGCTATCAGTTAGAAGACGCATTTCCCTCTTCTCAATCGCACAATTTTCGTAGTTGTTTTGCTCCTTTTTTTAATAAAAGAGGCAATATCAGATAAATTTTATTTCACAGTATTAAATGACAGCCGCTGAGCATTGAGATGTGAGAGGCATTGAGATAAAGGGTAGGTAATGGTAAATGAGGAACCATTAAGGGTTGAGCTCGCAAAGGAGGAGTAATCGCCGTTCGAAAGCGGGTGCTATTTCAATAAGCAAACATAAAAATATGAAAACATGTCTTTACTCGCTCTACGTAAACACTCTTTCTTTTAGCAGGAAATGTTTTGGAAGATTTTGCAAGGCAAAAACTGTTGGCAAACTTTCAAAGATCATGTTTGAAGTTTTTAGGAAAGATGTTATTTTTTATCCATGCAAAATTTGCTTCGATTTAACAGTGGAAGTTAAAATAAAGAGACCAGCATCCTCAAAAAACTGAAATACTGTTAGTAAAATTTCTGAAAAATACATTTGAAAAGATATCAATGCAACTAATCTTTTAAAAAAATCTCGAAGGAAGGGACCAAATCGAAAGGTATAACTCGTAGCAACCCCCGAGCAAACATCTACATGATTTTTTAAAAAAAAAAATTGTAAGTTTGAAATTTCTTGGCACCTTGGCGATTGTAGTTGCGCACCAGATGATAATACGGAAATATCCCCTGATTTTAGCTGCTATTTTATAAAAAATATTTGATTTTAAGTATATTTTTAAAATTATTAAATACATAATTATTTCGCAAATTTATTTCAGTTATTAATCTTTACTAACGTAAGTAGGTCTCATTTTACTATTATCAAAATGCATTATTGTGAGAAAGTTCATTGAAATGTTTTAATGGGAATAATAAATTTAAAGTATAACAAAATTCTGATTACTTAATTTTTTGTATCGAGTTAATGTTTAAAATACGGGGACTATAACAAAAGATTTAAAATGAATAGAAAAATTTATTCTTTTGACTAATTTCTTTCTACAAATACGAAAAACAAACATTTTATTACAGAGTATCCAGCTGAGCCACGATGGCTCAGGAGATAGAGGATTCAATGAAGCGAACCGGGTTCGAATCCCAGTCGATACAAATTCCGCATCCGGCTTGCACAGACCACAGCGCGGGCGTAAAATATCATCAGTGATAGACGGATCATGGGTTAGAGTCCCTTTGCCCTCAGGTTAACCGCGAGAGATTCTCGTGGTCTTCCTCTCCATGTACGCAAATGCGCGTTAGCTCCATCAAAAAGTCCTCCACGAAAACAAATTTCTCCCAATACTTGATCTAGAAGTTCCCTTGTCTTCTGTATTTAAATTTGACTTTAAATTTGAAAATAAAATCTTCCGAAAAATCCGGAAGAGTTGGCAGGTAAGCAACAGCCTTTAAGTGGCAGATATTTGATTAAATTTGCTAGTTTTTTGAGGACTAAACAAGCAATTCTATTAAATGAGGAGTATTTCATTATCCTTTGAATTATTTAGAAGTAGTGGTGAGTAAAAACTTTTGAAATTGAATTTACTAAACGACCGTAAAATCTAGGATCTAACTATTTTCTTAGTGTGACATTCTTTAAAAACATGTTTTTTTAAAAGAAACTTTCAAATTTTAATGTCACGGCAGATAGTATGGATATTAAATTTAGTTACTATAATAATAAATTACCTATTTTGTTAAAAAATTACCTATTTTGTGTAGCTTCCTCTAGAAAATAGTTACATCATACCTGCCAACATTCACTCCTTTCGAGAATGGATTTTCCAAATGGTAGTAAGACAATTACCGAAAAACTATCTTCCTCAAAAATTTATTTATGTTTTAAACAGGTTGAAATTCGCTGTCATGAAGATTGATATGCTTTCATATATTTTTTGTAATTATTTATATGTAGTGGTGATCAAACTCATTTATAATTATTATTAAAATACAAAAATTTTAGCGGAATGACATGAATTTCGCTACCACTTTAAATATGGAAATAAAATCTTCTGGGAAAACCGAAAGAGTTGGCAGCTATGAGTTACATGCATACCGGAACAAGATAGCATCTCTGTGTACATATCTATATGATGATAAGGATAGCATCTTTGTATAAATATGAAAATGGTGATCTATATAGTGATCTAGATGGCATAATTAACATTTTCTGTGTATATTATCTGCGTATATACGATGCAAAGAACAATTTAGAGATTCGTTTTAAAAATCTGTTACTCTAAATATTATGGGTTTTTAAAATATCTTTATAATTATTTACATATATGCATTATAATAGCTTAATAATCAGTCATTTTGATATTAAAAACAATCATCTTTCTATAAATCAAATTACAATCAAAGTTCGTAATATGATATAATATAAATAAAAATTTTATTAGTTTTATAAAATACTAAACATTTAATTACATTTTCCTCAAATTTGATTAGTTTATTTCATAATATAAGCTGGGAAAGCATATATAATATATGAGATTTCATAATTATAAGAGTTAAAATAATTATTAGAAAATATATTTCTGCGAGACAAACAAAATTTCTGTATTAAAAGAAAAATTAATTTGTTGACCATCAGTGAATTTATTGTTGAAGGGTATTAAAGGATCATTCCTTTTTTAAATAGGACATTCATAAATTTTATTTTTTTATTGTGCAGTTCTATTTCTAAGCTTCTTCTAAGTCTAGTTTTATCCCTTTAAATGTCATATTGAATTACAAAAAAAAATAACTAATAATAATGCTTACGAGTATATTTCTGAAGAAACCCCTCTAAATCTGCCTTCCATTAAAAACAAAAGAAGGAAAAGAAAAAAAATGACTGAAAACTTTTCTGTCAAAGAACTATTTTGCTTATCAGAGAAAAGTAAATTCCTAAATTGATTTGGCATGTAAGTGTCATTCGATTCTCAGTATTAGTAATTAATTCTTAATTCCACGTCAGATAAGAAATGTATTAATTATTAGTAAACAATGGTATTCCAAATATTCTTTCTATGCTTTCCCTGATTGTGAAACATTGAAAAAAAAGTTGAGAAAAGTTAATTTTAAAAAAAAATAGCTCAACAAGTTGACATGCACATAGCTGCCAACTTGTTCGGCCGTTAAGAAATAATTTTCTTTGTAAGTTTTTTCTTCTATGGCAACAGTAATTTATTTGTATTTTCTCATTTAAGAATATATATAAAAAAATAAAGTCGATTTTAACATGTTTTTAGATTAAATCTCTTAACATTGAAGACTGATAAAATTTAAGTTATTAACTTGAATGTTCTCACCAAACATGGACTTGATTCAAACTACAGTAGAATTCAATGTATTTTTTTTTCAGGAAAATGTTTAATTCTTAATAATAATATTGTGTTTCTAGAGCATTCTTCCATACAAAATTGTTATTTTACTACAATTATATTAAATCTTTTTCAATGACATTACAATTTGACAATTGTCAGAGATGCCAACTGCTCCGGACACGCCAAAATAATTTTAAAAAAACGGTCAATAACTCGAAATTAAATTTTGCAAATAATGACTATTCTTACTTGCTTTTTAAAATGTATAGCATGACGTAAGCATACCTGCCAACTTTTAATCCCTTCCATTATCATTTTTCCCAGTGGTATTAAAATGGAATTAAAAATTCAATTTTAAGCAAACATATACGTTGTATATGAGCAAACTTAAGTTGACAACCATGAACTTGAACTGAGGTAATTTATGCAGTACCTGTCCGCGAAGCGGACACTACACTGCTTCATCGAAGATGATGCCCGTGGGCACCTGGAATATTTTCTTTAGAAAAGATGTTGAAGTTGTCTGGAGTGAGTAGTGGGCCTGGTGGATTGTAGTGGTGTCACTAAGGCTTGTTTTCTGGTAATAGGGAACGAAGAAGCTGAACCAGCTCCTCGTTTTTAAGAAGTTCTTGCATCTCTCGGAAGATATGAAGAAATCTGGTGGCAGTATGGGTAGCACTCCTGTGCTCTCTGTTCTTTTGTTGTGGCTTTCGACGTGGTCTCGCATCACAGCCATGATAGTAACGCATATTAATATATGTGCTTAATTTTTGTAAGAATAGTGGTGATCAATATCATTTAAAAATTAAGATTATAAAAGAAAAAAAATAGTATATAATTACTACCACTTTAAATATGAAAATAAAATCTTCCGGAAAATCCGGAAGAGTTGGCAGGTATGCGTAAATAATTCAAAGTGGTGAATTATATAAGCCTACGAATTATTTAGAAGTAGCGCTAGATAAAAATCTATTAAATTGAATGTATTAAATGGCATCTTTCAATTGCTAAGAGAAAATTATTTCGAAAATTCATTTATCAATACTGAATATTAAATATTTAAATTACTGATTTTTCTTGGTAGATAAATTGATAATCTTTTTTAATAAAAAACAAAGATTTATGATTTAAAAAAAATAATTATTATAAAGAAATTTTTCGCAGTGAGTGTAGAAATTGGCAAATATGTTTTTATGTTAAAGGTTTGTCTCCTTTTCGCCAAATAAGATCCCTGAATTGAACTAAAAAAGATAAAATAATTTTATTTTTATCACGTTTAAAAGAGTATCGCCTCACTTTCGAAACACGTTGAAAGGAATTTTAGGTAGGGACTAGAACTTTATTGTAATTGTGGCGCTCTTAAAGTTTCCCTCTTTAGGCGATTGGGAAATTAAAAAAAATAGTTTTTTATACTTTCTATCTCCTCTTAAAATAATGTACTTTTTTGGAAAAAAAATATATTAGTTTCCTTTTATTTAAAAATTTTTACTTTATGTCAAAAAATAGTTTGAATTACGTTTAGCAATATTTGCTGTGCTACAGGAAACTATTAACACGCTAATTTTACATGACTCCCCCGTCTGGCCGAACGGTTAATAATTTCTTACTAAATTTGCAAATATTAGGCAAATTTTGCTAGTTTCCTAAAAGGTTTAACATGATATAAACGACATAAGTGGTAAATTTTATAAGCCTACGAGTTGTTTAGAAATAGTGGTGAATAAAAATCTACTAAATTGAATTTATTAAACCGAGAATCACAATTAATAAACTACCACTTGAAAATGTTTATTCACTGTCCGCAGCAAGTTGGCATCTCTGTGTATATAAATAAATCCTTTTATTCCAATTGCATTCCAATTACCAGAAAGAACCACCTTAAAGATCACAATTCAAGACGAATGGGTAAAAGGCCGCTAACGGCCTCAGGCGCCCAGATATATTTTGATGATGATGATATAAATAAACCTATTTTTGTGTGTTCTACATTGCAATAAATTCTTCAAACCATTTTAGTTACTATAATAATATAAAACAATTTAAAGCATTAAAATTTACTCGAATTACGTGTTTTTAATAATATTGATTTCGCAGGGGGCCGGTGACCCCCGTGGCTCTACGGACAAACTCAGTGCCGGTCACCGGTAACCCCCACGGCATTCAACATGTTAAAGACATAGTTATTTTTAGGACAATGGTTCCAGTTGAAATTTGAGAACTTTAGCTGATAGGAAGTCGGTTAGAACTAGGATAGTAAGATCCAATTTTTACACACACACTAAATGGAATTAACGTAAAACGTGGCAGTACATTTTGCATGCGAATGAACATTTGCAATAATATTGCAAGAAACATAGTTCAGTTAATTAAAAGTGGAGTTGCGAAAAGATTAATTAAAATTTAATCTTTTCGCAACTCCACTCCGCACAACACAGCTAAGCGACTCCACTGAGGTGTGTGCATTGCACATGTTAAGATTTCTTTTTATAGTTTACTTTTGTACCTAGAAAATGCTTCTCCCAAATATAAGTATGCAAAATAACTTATGCCTTCGCATTCAATATAGGTAAATGTAATATTAGTCAGTGGCACTTTGACGCTGATAGGAGGTTACTAAACTGCTTCACGGCTAAATACAGCGCTTGTACTCTTGTGGCATCCCGTGAATACCATCTAAATACGGCTCGTGATGAAAGGGTTAAAAAAAAATGATGAGCAATTTTTTTATTAATTTCGATCAAACTCAAATTCATACTTGCCAACTTGAACGGACGCTGAAAAAGATTTTATAAATTGGTAGTAAAATAACAATTATAGTTGGAAATATATTTCAAAAAGTAAATTACTTAACATTTAAGAGCGGAATAAGGTGATCGTATCTACATATTTTTTTAATTGTTGATATGCATGGTAGATTGAAAAAAATTTTGAAACAATAAATTAAAAATTCAATACGTCAAAACGTTATAATGTTGCTACTACTAATAATTTTTTTTTTCTCAACGGCCATGCAAGTTGGCAGGTGTGCAAATTGTCGTTATGGTTACAACCACATTTTATTTTTATCACAGCCTCATTATAAGTACTATATATAGTATAAGGCAGGGGTGGCGAACCTCCATGCACCAACGTGCCCTTTTTTCTAAAATATATTTTAATGAGGTCATAGACGTGCCGACAAATAGTTTTGACTTCGTGATTATTGGGTAAATAATAATACTAAATTTTATCAACTCAAAACTCTTTATTTACTACGAAAAAATGCAATTCTCAACTTTTGCAATGTCTCAGTTATACGCGTAATTCAACTTAAATTAACATCAGTGTGACTTCTGTTGTTGCAGATTAGATGACAAATAACTTATATTAGGGTTATAAGATGTTAGTTTAAGCAGAACTGTTAATTTTTTTTTGCTAGTTATTTATTGTTCACTTGTTTTTTGTGGTTATTAATTGCTTTTTTGGCATTAATTGCTCTTTTTTTGTGAATTTTAATTGAATTGTTAATATGCTTCATAGTAAACTTTGTGATCGGTGGCGTGCCCAAAATATTGTGTCACGTGCCATAAGTGGCACGCGTGCCACTGGTTCGCCATCCCTGGTATAAGGTATAGTATAAGGTATATATATATACACTAGACTAAAAATAACTATCAATAAAAATAAATAATTTCGCCTAGCTCCAAAATATATATTTTTTTAACAAAAGTGGAACAAATTGGCATGTTTGCAATCATAGAAAACTAGTTAACCTTTTTATTTCCCAAAAAAGAAAAACGAGAATTTTCGTTCCCCAATGCCAAAAATAATAAAAAAAATTATAGAAAATGAAAGATTAATTCTAACGACCTACGAAAATGAAAGTAAAAGTTGGTTGGAAGTGGATAAATTTCCAAGTTCTAATTAAATAAATTTGAAGAAATTAACTTCTAAAATTCATGATTACTTGTCTTCGAAGCTCCTTATTGACATAATCTATGAATATCGACCAGTCAATTGAACTGTTTGAGACATAGCATTCTCATTCTTAGTATTATAGCTTGCTTCCAATAAAGAATTATTCTAAGGTTTCGCATTAACTATTTATTGCCATATTCACATGAAACATTCTTCAACTCTAAAATCATTCCAAGGATGTCACTTAAACCTTTAACGGGCCCTTTATTTCTAGTATAGGTAAATTAAAGTATTTTTGGAATTGAAATTGTTTTAAGAACAGTAATTGATATAAAAAAACAACTCATTTAGTTTATAAAAATGCCATTTTTTTGGTGGTAAATATATTTAACATGACCTATTAGGAACTTACTGACTTTTATTTTTCTTTATTTATAAAATAAATTCCTTAAATGCTACAAACTTCGAAAGGAATTATGCATTTAATAACTTTTATACGTTTTTTAAAAGTGACAAATGGTTAACAATTTTATTCAAACTCACTTCAAGAAAGCTAAAGTTATTGAAAAATGGAAACCTAAATTAAAAGTGGTAAAACGTGGTGGTAAGTATACTTACCACGGCCTTCAAAACGGTTAAATAAATGATTTAAAATTCTTGATGTTTCTTTATTACCTGTCTCCAAAGCTTCTTATTGAAATAATCTATGAATATCTATTAGTCAATTGAACTGTTTGAGTCATAACGTTCTCATTCCTAGTATTACAGTTTGGTATAAATAAAGAATTTTTCTAAGGTTTCGCCTTAACTGTTCATTGCCAAATTCACTCAGAACATTCTTCTACTCTAGAATCATTCAAATAATGTCACTTAGTACCTCTATCCATTAATATATAATAAAGTTCAGTCACAATTAATCACTGCTGTTTAGTTAAATAAGACGGTACTCTAATCTTTCTTCAAGAAATTTTCTTTTCGAAACATTTCACTTAGTCGCATTTACTGATATCAAAATATTATTCGAATATGAATACTTCAAGAGATACCATCTTAAGTTCCTAATTATTCATAAAATTTGTTGAGTTATTCCTTTCCCAAATTACTTTATCAAATGACTGCAGATGATGCATTATGCTTGAATAATATTTTATTTAAGAGCTTATACTCATTTTGAGTATGTTTGGAAATTTCCAAAACGAATGGATTTCATATTTAGATTAATTCCATGAAAAGTTTATTCATGTGTTCATGAATTATGTCTAAAGTATATCCTTCTGCTTAATATTCGTTGAATTCAAAAGCCCGTATTCAATTAGAATTGGATCTGTAGTTGAATTGAATACTTTGCTTTAATGACATCACAATAGCACTTAATACTCTCAGTTGCTGATTTGATATCAATGTCAATCGAAAACAATCGAAGCTGTCTTCTGGGATTAATCAATAAATGTTTGTGGAAGATGAATTTCAGATTGATATTATTAGTTAAACCGTAGAATTCTTACTTTAACTTAAGTATTAAAATCAATTCTATTAATAAACGTGATTGACGTTATTTTCCCTAAATTGTTAGCGTCTAGCGTAGCTATATAAACGTCTTACTCAAATTAAAATCATTGTAGCTAAAGTTCTATATTTTTAACCACCGTCCGTCTACCACTAAGAATATTTTACGCCAGCACTGTGGTCGGTGCAAGCGGCATGCTGAATTCGTATCGACCAGCTATAGTTGGGATTCGAACCCGGTTCACCTCATTGGAAAGCGAACGTTCTAGCCCCTGAGCCACCACTGCTCTTACCAACTTAGTGTGTTTCTAATCGGAAGAAAATGATGACTGCAAAAAAAAATAAA